GTCCCTCCTTTCACATCAGAGCCCCACCCCTTTCACATTAAAAGCCCCCCTTCCCATCAAAGTCCCTCTTTTCACAGAGTCCTCTCTATCACATCAGAGCATCCCATTTCACATCAGAAGTCACCCTTGCATCAGAACCCCCACTTCACATCAGAGCCTCCTTCACATCAGGAGTTCCCCTTCACATCAGAAGCTCCTTCCTTCAGGAGCCCCTCTTCACATCAGAGTCCTCATTCCCCCGTCACATCTATCCATCCATCTATTCATCCATCTATCTATACTTCTATCCATCCTTCTATGCATCTACCTATCCTTCTATCCATCTACCTATCCTTCTATCCATCTATCTATCGTTCTATCCATCTATCTATACTTCTATCCATCCTTCTATACTTCTATCCATCCTTCTATACTTCTATCCATCTATCTATCCATCTATCTATCCTTCTAACCATCTATCCATCTATCTATCCTTCTATCCATCTATCTATCCTTCTATCCATCTATCTATCCTCCTATCCATCTATCTATCCATCTATCTATCCATCTATCTATCCTTCTATCCATCTATCTATCCTCCTATCCATCTATCTATCCTTCTATCCATCTATCTATCCTCCTATCCATCTATCTATCCATCTATCGCCGGGTGGAAGATTTATAGATCAGCCCCATGGTGTCAGTCACATGTTCTTCCAGACCTTAAAGTACCAAATATTTTCCTCAATCATGTAAATGGATCAGCAGCGGAGTGAAGACAACGTGTGTGCAGCAGGGGAAGGGGGAAAATAAGGGTCTGGTCACATCATGTGAGTTGGAGCTGTGCTGTCCATTGTTTCCAGCGCAGCCCCAATGCAAGACAAAGCAATTTGCCTTGTCACAGATGTGCTCGGGGAAGCAGGCGAGCCTCACCGAGTATTAAGGAGGACAAAGCTGTCAGCTTGAAGTCTGAAGCTGACATCTTTTTCTTTATTCAGATCGGCTTGTTACAGGGAAAGCCTCCGCCACTGTGTAACCTGTCATGGACGGAGTGCTGCCTGTTAATAACAGGCGGCGCTGCATCCGCATGTTAACAGGTAGTTAGGTTACACAGCAGCGGGCTTCCCAACTGCTTGTGTAACCTAACTAGTGAGGCAAGAGCTGTCACAGCCTCCACTCTGTGTTAGAGGCGTGAGCTCTGTGGATGGTTTGGACCAATGGCAAAGCGCTATTGGCCCAAGCTGTCCAATCAAAAAAAGAAAACACAGAGGCCATCGATCTCGATGCCTCAGTGTAACATATTCACCTTTCCTTCGCTCCAGTCTCTGTCCGTGGCTCCGCCCCCTCAGTTGAGGTGTCATCCGGCTCCTCCCTCACACCTGGCTTAAGGCCTCAGATTCAATTGCTTGTGTCAGTTCAATGTGTGGACACCGGGCGATACTTACCTGCACCTCGTCCTCACTGTGACCGCTCCACAAACCCCTACTGAAGTCTTCCTTTGCTGGGCTGACAAGTGCTGCTGCTCTCCTCAGCCACCCTCACACAATGGCAGACGCTGGCTGCTTTCCTTGCATCTTTCATCCCCAGCTGATCCTGTGTATACCCTCCTTTGCTGCAGACAGATCCATATGCACTAATCATCCTCACCTGTGCAGCTGACTGCGCTCTCTCTCTGCTATACGGCTTGACTCCGCATACATCTCTCCCATTCTCCTGTGATCATCTAAGTGAATCTGCACTTCAGACTGAAAACAACTCATGAGTTCAAACCCCCTGTGCTGCCTTCACAATCGCAAGTATAAAATATGATTGACTGGTCACTAATTGTACTGGGATTTAACATCTATTTCATGCTGATTCCTGAACTGGTGCGCTCTGTGTCCCTTGGGTATTATACACTTGCTTATATAGAGAATCTGCTTCATTTCAGTGACATACTATGTGCTATTGACTTCCCTCATCCGCAGCTGTGATCCTTAAACTCGCACATTCTGAGCATAAAGGTGCCCACGCACCTGCTGATTTATCGTACGATAATCGCGGGTGATCCTGCGATCGCACGACAATCGGCAGGTGTATGGGCAGCGTGCGACCGCATCTACTGTACGGTCGCACGACTTTCCTCTTCCTAGCACGCTGGAAAACCTGCCGAAAATCATCAGATTTTCGGCGTGTTGGTAGCGTGCTTGGAAGACAAAAGCCGCAAGCGCACACTGCCCGCTCAGCATTGCAATCATCGGCAAGCCCTGCCCTCGGCGGGGAGGGCTTGCGATGATCGCAAGTACGATCTGCCTGTCCAAGATGGACAGGTCGTACGAAATATTAATGACCTTACAACTATCGCACAACGAAAGTCGTAAGGTAAGGTGTATGGCCAGCTTTAGTGTTACACTCAGCAGTGACAAGCAAGTGAGGTTCCTCCTTGTCTCCTCCTTCACACTAGCTTGGGGACCAGGGGGGGCGGGGCTATGGTCTGATATGGGTGGGGGTTTGGCTGGCTGGGGGGGGCCTCTGGCCTG